TKGGRACGGGAAAACATTATTTAAGACCATTGATATAAGTTTTTCGCTGTCAAGTCGTCACAAAGAAAACTGTGGTTATGGAAAAGAATATGCGAAATTTCACCATTCTTCCCGTTCTGTTGGCTGACTATTAAACATAAATCAATGAGTAAAACCATATCAAGAGCACGCTACCATCAAGAGCGTTCATACGTTTTTTCCAATTTTTATTTCAGCAAACTTACGAGAGGATGCGTGTTTTGGCAAGACTTTTAGACTTTATTTTGCAAACATGAGTAAGAAAACAATGTATGGCAAAAACAACAGATTGTCCTTGGGACTTCGACTTTAAATTGGAATAGTATAGGGTTTTATTTTACGGAAATGTTTCATGTGTTTTCCATTAGCGTTCTTTAAAATTGAGTAGCTGGAATGTTTTCAGCAATAACTTAAGCGCGATTCAAAGCATCTTTATAGCTTCAAATTTTATTATCTTTTAAAATTTTGTACAGTATTTCACATATCAATGATGGCGAAAAAGTAAATTTAAGCCTCCCGGTTAGTTCAATTGGTTAGACCGCTGGACTGTTGTGCGGGGGGTCGATGGTTCGAGCCTCGGCCGGACCAACACTCAAGGTCTTAAAATAACTGAGGAGAATGCGCTACCTTTCTTTAATATCAAGAAATGAATAGACATTCTAGTCTTCTCGGATAAGGACGAATAAACCGTAGGTCCCGTCTCCTGCGTCTATTAAAGAGTTAATTTGGTTAGGCAGGGGACGTTAAAAAACCGGTCAGCGGTCGTCATGGCGGCTGGTTGTAAGTTTTCCCTCTCTCCTGTTTTTACCGCTTTTTTAGTTTGTTTCTTAGCCTGTGATAGTTTTACTTTCCTCAAAATACGACTATCTCATCCCAAGACTCGTCTGCATCTTGTTGGAGGCGTCATAGACTTGGAGACGACTCGAAACTTCTTTGTTGCATTGACATCGCGAGTCCGCCATCTTGGAACATGTGCGAAGGGATATTTTGGTACAGACCTGACTCGATATCCCAATTCTGTTTCTACATTTAATATCTCAAGATTGGTACAATGTGGAGACATCGAAATAAACCCTGGACCAGAACAGTCATTATCTCCGGGATTATCCACAACTCGCAAAAAACCTCTTTGGAAGTGCCCTTGTGATGTATGTACGAAGTCTGTTCGCTCCAATCAGAAAGGGATTCTCTGCGATGGTTGTAACAAATGGTTCCACCTAAAGTGCATTACCATGGATCTACAGGCTTATATTGACTTGGGGTCTTCTGATGAGCAGTGGTTCTGTGACAAAAATTGTGGGTGGCCTTTTAACTTCACTGATTCATTCTTTGAGTCGTCCTTCTCAACTGGGCAGAATGTAAGCTTAAGCTCTGATGTCTCTGCGGAATCTTCCCCTCACTCTGCTAATGGCTTCTCCAAGTGCTTATTATTAAATACGAGGAGTATTCGAAACAAGATCAACGACCTAAATGCTTTGTTATTAATGGACTCCTTTGACATTGTTGCCTTGACGGAGACTTGGTTAGACAATGAATTTGATGACCGTGATCTACATCTTGAGGGTTATAGTATCCTTCGTCGGGATAGACGTGGTAGGCGTGGTGGAGGAGTGTTGCTCGCAACTAAATCACACCTGCCATGTGTACGGAGATACGATCTTGAGGTAAATGCGGAGATGCTAGCCTGTGAATTAAAGACCAGTAATACACGATGTCTATTATTTGCAGTTTTTTACAGACCACCAGACGCTGAAGAGACGTTCTTGGATGAATTCAGGAGATTTCTCAATAAAGCTTCTGGTACAGGAATCGCTGATTTAATTATCACTGGCGATTTTAAAAAAGGGAC